GTCTCGGTGCAAATGCTCTCAGTGTCCGTAAAAGAAAGATACATTCAAGTGTCAAGAATCATCAGGCACAACACTTAACGATAGTCCTAGGATACAATAAGCAATCAAATCATACTAGGAAACAGTCAATATAAATCGTAAGGATACAAGCGACAAAGTCATACAGTCACAAGTAGGAGGGGAGGGGTGATAAGGAGTGATGAGAAGATTAATAGTAATAGTGCAGCTGCTGAATAAAATCTACTGGAAATTAAAGAACAAGAAGATAACCATATTATATGATATGGGATGAATTTTATAAATGGTTGGAAAACAAAATTGAATTGATATAAGATAAGAGGTAATGAGAATATTCTAATGATAAGAGAAAAAATTTTTTTAATATGAATGTAACTTTAATGATATTATAATATGAAATGTATATCAAATATGAATATGTGCGCAAGATATATGTACCCAGTTAACACACTGTTGAACTGAAAGATGGTCATTTTGTAAAAGTAAATTTTAAAAATTTTAATTAAAAAAAAAGTGAGCTACTGGACCACAAACTTCCAGCCCAATGGAAGTTTGCAGGAGATGAAAGACGGGAGGAGCCTTGGGATTTGTCATTGGGGTGGAGGAAAGAAACCATTTACGTGGAGTGGTGACATTGATTTGGGTGATTGGTTTGAAAGCGTAGATTTATTCCATTTAGATGTATGAATTTAGAGGAAGGGAAAGAGAAAGGGGAAAGGGAAAAGAAAAAAGGTGAAAGGGAAGGAAAGGAAAGGAAAAGAAAGGAAGAAAAGGAGAAAAGGGAAGGGAAAAGGGAAGAAAAGGAAAAAGAAGTAAAGGAAAGGAATAAAAAAGGAAAGGGGAAAAGCAGGAAAGGAAACATGAATAAAGGAAGGAAGGAAAAAGGGTAGGGAGGATGGAGAGGGAATGAAAGAAAAAGTAATGCAAAAGAAAGCAGGAAGGAAAGAGAAGGGAGGGAGACAAAGAAGGAAGGAAGGAGGAAAGAAAGAAAAAAAGAAAGAAAAAAAAGAAAGAAATTTTCCCTCCTAGGAACTAAAGTCATTATAATGTAATGTTATACAGAACAAAAGTGCTTAAACGGAACCCTCTGGAAACTCAAATAAGAAGTTAAAAATTAAAATTAAACCTTGGTGTTCCAGCTTGAAACAACTGATTTGGGCAAAGTCTCAACCGCTGACAACTGGAGCCTGGAAACATGCTAAGAAATTCACAGAGGAGCATTTGCAGATAGGTGGGAGGGAGGGAGAAAGAGAGGGGGCGGTAGGTAGGTAGGAAGATAGATACAGATGATAGATAGATAGATAGATAGATAGATAGATAGATAGATAGATAGAT